TTACATACATTAATACAAACATTTATACGTTAATACATAAATAAAATATAATATATAATAATAAAATAATGTTATATATAATATTATTATATATTATTATTATTGTAATAATATCATTATTCTAACTTAATGATACTATAATTAATACCTTTGCACTTTGACGCAAGCGATTGTTTATATGTTAATTAGACGCCAAACAAACATAATACGCAAATACATTAAATATGCGCTTTAACGTCGATGCATAATCGTTGTTGTATTCACTGTTCATTCGGGGCCTCGGAAAATATTTCGTTCCGTTTCGCGATGAAGGTACGATCGTCACAAAATTGACAAAGACGTTTCCGGAGCTTTACAGCGATTTCAAGAGGCGTCCAAGGGCAGCATCTGGATTATGGACACGACACGCTGAGTTGAACACAAACTTTGGCAGCAGGATCCCATGAAACCGAGGGGCAGGCCTGCCGAAAATTGAATGGAACGTCCTTGAGGAACAAGAGAACCCTTTTATGGAAGAACGAGGATTGTTGGTCCCTAAAGGGCATACGCCTACGCACTTTTACTAGGAAACCATGAGGAATCGACTGGTTGTATCTTGTGCCAGCCCTTTGAGGATTCTCCCAAAGGACTTCAGACACAACATCCCCCCACCTATAAACATCCTTACATTAAAAAACGTCTTGTACAGCTTGCTTCGAATCCTCCATTCATCGCTGAATTGGTCGTTTCGTCATTGAAAACATTAAAGATCCCAAACAAATTTTTTATTTAGTGAAAAATTTTTCCAGTAAATAAAAATAATAATCGGGTAACATTAAAAATCATTCTTTTCGTCTACGCCATGCTTTCAGTCCTTTTTTCATCACCGAATTGACTTTTTTATCATTGACAACGTTAGAAGTCTCCCACGGAAGACAATTGAAAACCTAAAAAATCCCTACGAATATTTTTCCAGCGAACGAAAATAATGATCGGCGATATTAAAAATCGCGGATAAATGTTTTCATCGCGATAGAACGCGGTGTTAAATTTCTGTGAAGCTAGTGTCGGGGCTGCCGCCGATATCGTCGCTCCGTTCGACAATTGCAGAAATTGGCCGTGACAAATTAGATCGAAGGTTAGCTGTCAGCCGACCCTGTCGCCAGAAGTCCCCTGGGCGTGTCCTCGAACCGGAAAAAAACCAGTCTCCGCGGCATGCTCTCCTAGTCTGTGTCACCAGCATACTTCCCCTTTAGTATCGCCTAACAATTCCAATTAAGGGCAACGGGACGCGCGGCGTAACCGTTACACGTTTCCTTTACCCTCTGGGGACATTTCACAAAGGGCCGAGTTCACAGGATGTTAGAAGCGTATCGTAAGTATATTAGGGACAGGCATGTGTGGTCAGTGCATGGTGTGGCATGATCCCTACCCATAGGGCCACGGGGCAATGGCCGTTACCAAAATATGGCGCACCGCTGGGCCAACGTTGAGAATCGAACGGAACATATGCGAAGAAAGATTCCTCGGAGCACGAATGCAGCGCTCGGAAATCCGAACGAGCGACTAACTTTATACATATTTCTATCGCGCATTTGTTCAACTTGAACGCATATTTCCCCACGGCTCTCGCAGTCGCCGAAGGAGGAGAATCGGAAGTGGAAGTTCCTGACTCCCGAGGAGCCGGGAACGCACCTGGCTTCGTCGTTATCATGTTTCCCTGCTGAAAAATCGTGTTCACTTTGAACTACTCTTTTTCTTTTTTCTTCCACCACCGTCTCTGTCGTCCCGTGACCGATACACCGTGAAACCAAACTGTGTGCACTCGCGATTATGTGCCGGTGTCGATTTTAATCGGGGAGAAAAAAAAAAGTACGATGTCGATTCATCAGGAAAACAGATTACCGAGAAATTACTGCATTTTTAACGGGAATAATTGATGGACTGTGGATCCTCGTGTCCATGTTTTTTTTTTGCTTTGTATCCGACAAAAATATTGCGACGATAACGGAAATACAAAGTTCAATGTTTGCTGCACTTTTTAGTCGGTTCTGCGACGACTGGAATCCACACGATAAAACAAACTCCCGCGTAATTCGAGAGCTCGACGTTGTTCCGTAAAAATGAGGGAAGTTTATGATACAGATGCGCGCAAGAGGATTAATAATTAAGTGCGACCAGCGACACCTGTGGAAAGCGGTTCGCGACATCAGACGGACACGTGTCGGTACCTGGAATAGGATTGTAGAAGGCGGAGGAAGATCGAGGACGATCTACGAGGGAGGACGCGAACGTCACGTGACCACGGCGAAGCCGCTTCGCGGTTAATTAAGCTGCCGACAAATTTAGAATCTCGTTTGTTCGTTCGGCGAGAGGATTCGCAACTGCGTATTTCACGGAATGGATGATCGGAGTGCGAATATAATTGGTGCTAACGGCAAGCGTCACACTGATTAGAAGTAGAAACTTTGGAATAAAAGTCGTAGGTCAAGGCGATAATCTAAAACTTCGTGCCGATAGCGTCCACCCGCTTCCTCCGTCGCTCGACTATCGGGTACGTGTGAAAAAAGATAAAGAACCGTAATATGGAAGTTACAGATAACGCTCGGAAACTCGCGTGAAATATTTCGTATCGCCGCCCCAACACGATTTGGTAACCGACTTCGTGTTTTCGGTGAACGTTCCCGAGACGTTTCTACGGGATTCGATCGAGAAACGAATTCTCACAGCACGAGCAGCGCGGGGATACGCGATCGAAGTTATCGGTACGAGAATTATATTTGCAGAAATTGCAGGGAGCCTGACGTGCGTAACGATTCTCTTGTCTCAGAGTTAACGAATTACGATCGCAGAATAAAAGAGAACAAAGCAACGAGTCGGGTATATTAAACGAGTCAATTTTAATGAACAGAATCGGGGCGATATAAAAACGTAGAAAGTATTGAACAAATAACAATAAAAGCCGATGGAAATCAGCCGGCATTCCGTGAAAGTAGGGACCTCGGATCATCGTTATTGATCGCGAAGGAAATTTAGAAAGTCGATGCTCGAAAGCTAGCCGAACGGGGGAAGATGGTATCTTCCAGGATGTCTCCGCCATTTTGATTCCGCAGGGACACCCGCAGGATACCGTGGGCACGAATACGCGCGTAAGTGAATGGGGATTCGATAGGGCAATGTAACAGGGTAGCAGGGGTTAGAAGGAGTGTCTCAAGGGTCCTGAAGGCCCCTTCGGCTTCGAACGAAGCGGGATCAGCTATCCGCCATCTTCCCGCGAGCCTAACACACACACGCGCCCATCTCGCAATCACGCTCGTGATCACGTGGACATTATCGTTCGCGCGACTTGACAATTATTAATTAAGCGAATTTTACATCGCGTCCTCTGAACTCGATTAGAACAGAATCGACCTCGCAGGTAGAACGCGGTTTCTCGATCGAAACGTAACGAACTATTAAAAAAATTAACAAATCGAGAATTATGGACCGATTCAAAATCGAAAACTAAATTAATCGATTCGTTCGTGTCGCCTCGAATGTAACGGTCTCCGACGGAATGGTCCGGATCGATGGAAAATGGCCCGCCAAAAATTGATCTCGAGCAAGGGGTGGCTCCCGGTGGATCACGTGACGTTTTGACACCACGTGTCAGGGGCTGTCATTCATACTTTTCACGGTAATCACGATGCAACACTCGTACGGTTCGTGTAGCAAGCGACCAGGATACGCGAGGAGCTGCCCGGGTACGTTTAGGGTGATTTTGCAACATCCCCTGAGCAAACACGAGACACATCTTAGGGGTGTTCGCCACCAGGAATTTATGCGCACGTAGGAGGACGATTTTCACAGGGTGGAAACGCCGATGGGGGATGCTGGGCGGCATCGCGTTCTCGGTTCACGAGGGTAGCTCTGCTGGAACGAACCCCCATTGTGCCTTCTATTGATCCAGGACACTCGAGCCACACGCATGGCGATCGATAGGCATGCTGGTATTCGCTCACGCACGCTCACTATGACTGGCACACCTGTAGGAACTCGTGCTTCTACCCTGTTCACGAACAACCCCTTCCTTCAATATTTTCAAACCCCGGAACTTCCGACAAATGCGTGTAGAAAGATTGCATTGTATTGGACGGACAAGAACAAAGCAGCCTGAGACAAACGAATGACTGACATTTTATTTAAGAAAAATGCTTGCCGTTTCGTTTAATTATTCAGGTCATTGTTCATTCTTTAGTCAATTTATTTAATAATTTAGACTTGTTGTTCATCGTTTAACCATTTTATTTAATATGTTAGACTACCATTCATTGTTTAGACATTTTATGTAATAATTTGGACTGTTGTTCATTGTTCGGACACTTTATTTAATAACTTACCTTACTATTCATTGTTTTGACATTTTATGTAATAATTTTGACTGGTGTTCATTGTTCGGACATTTCATTTAATAACTTAGATTACTATTCATTGTTTAGACATTTTATGTGACAATTTGAACTGTTTATAAAAAATTCATTGGACAGACATTTCATTTAACAAAATGTTAAACAACAGTATCCCCAGTCTTACAAACTAGCATAATTACTTGGGCGACTGAAAGGGGTTTCGAACCGCGTCGAACACAGTCCAGCACATCGAAACCGGCGATCACGTGGGGCACACGTACACTGGCGACACACGAGCCGATTAAACGGTCCCTACATCGTCGGCCTCTGCCTTTGATCGGACTTAATTAGTCGCGAATTAGGGCGACGAGGCTCGCAGCGTACGTTCCGGAACGTTCGCGAAAAAGGGGACCGCGACAGGGATTCCCGGAACCAGTCGAGGGAAAAAAGGGCCTTTTCAGGGCACGAGAAACATGCGGCCCCGTCCGGTTCCCGGTAGAGAGGCCTTCTTTATTCGGTGCCTCCAAGACTGGTTCGGCTTCCTGTGACTTTGTCAGCGGCAAACCAACGAGAATCGTGGAATCGAAGTGGGGCCGAACGCGTGATAAAGCTGACCAGACGGGAGCAGCAGTGCTCTTGAGTGATTAGTACGCGGTGGTTACCCGATCGGTGAACCCGGGACCGAATGTCCGTGACGTTGAACCCTCCGCGACTTGTTGCGAACAGAATTGCTTGCGTAAGTTTGGCAGAAAAGTTGCAAACCGTTCCATCAAGTTGTACGCTTCCGAAGAGATTTCATCGTAAATTTGCATCTAAGCTGGTGTTAGTTTAGATATGTTAATGTTGCATTAAGTTCGTTGGTGTTGGTTTATGTTTGTTTGAGGTTGATACGCAGTGCCGGACTTTTTCTATTTTTGTGCGGAGGGTGAACCAACGGTCCGTTTGCAAGAAAAGGCGCCGATTTAATAATTAATAAAAAATAAACAGATGAAGCTATTGACGCGCGGTTTGAACCGGTTTGTAGCTACATTCTTGTAATATAACCATAAAATTCAAGGCTGTCCTACAAATCCAGCGATTCTAAGCTCAAAAATTGATGTAGTACTTAAGTTCGCACGTTTCTTCGAGCAGTTCGGATAACAGAGGATCGCCGTACCAGTTCAAATCACATTGCACAATCTCCAAGCGATTTTTTCGCAATATCCTTGAACTGAAAAATTGGGTAAACAGAAGATTGCACTCGAGAGAAAAACACGGGATTCCAAGAGCGCGGACATTGTGAAACAATTGTCCCCACTACTGGACTCGAACCGCCAAGTTCACGGCTGCTACATCACGTGTAGCTCAGCCTGTAGAACCCTGGCACGACACAGGGATCGACGGCGAAGCAAAATAAACGACAGTAACAGTCGTGTTTAGTGAAAGAGAATCCCCGGGGATCGCCGGATGATTCAGAGTCCACGAGACTGTTGACCTTGTCAGGTCGGTTTATCAAGATCGAGGTCGCGGATACAGCGGAAAAATCGATAGTCGTTAAAGGCTCAAAGGACTGGCAAGTTGCGAGCCCACTGTGCCGACTTCTGACCGCTATAGCCAGACGATATCGACGGACGTCTCAGACCCCCATTTGTTTTGCAACACCCTGGTCGGCCGGCTATCGGCGTCTACGTCAATCGGCTTTTTTCTAACATTTTTGTCGATACTTGTTGCGCGCATCGAGAGTCAAATAACAAACCGAGGGATTGGTCCGCTGAAATGGGAGTCTCATCGTCGTACCGACGAGATCGTGACGAAGATGACAGGGTCACTGAAAATGGTGTTGCGATGTTCGATTGAGGCCTGATGGCTTCCAAGGCCTGGTAGAACCAGAGACTACGATCAGTTGTCAAGGTGTGATCCCAGAGAGTGTGTGCTTACAAAGAGGTCCCAAGTTCCAGCGTCCGACAAAATTAGATCAGCCAAGATGTTCCTGAACCAGACGATGATGATGTTAGCGTACACGGCCAACGCGATAGCCACTTTGCCGAAGAACACCAGCACCCAGATCGAGGACGTCAAGGTGCAGAACCTGACCACCAGCACTCTGTCGCCGGAAGAGGTGGAAAACCAATTCGACTTGGAGGACAGTGAGTGATTCTTCGTATCTAAGGTCCGTTGGCAATTTTCGGAGAATTAAATCTTGATAGATCGTCGCTACTTCTGGGAAGAAAACAGCGACGATTCATATTGGAGATAGAGAAATATGACGTATCATTATTTACAGTAGATCAGCGGTTCAACAACGCGCAACGAATTGCCATGTCCGTCCAGGGGTTATCTGTTGCGTTAGTGTTATCTCTGCAGACTGCATTCTATCAGTTCCTCGAACGCCGCACACAGTGTTTAGTCTTCGTGTCGGGATTACGATTAACGGACGCACGTGACTGCCGATTCGGTGCACACGTTCTACCTTCATTCCGAGAGATAGCTCTAAATCATTTGCATGAATGAACGTTATTAATCGTCTCTACGCACCGGCAGCTTCCAAAGAGGCCTCGAAATAATTGATAAAATCGTTCGGCTCACTTTTGGTCTCTGTTTTTCTTCGACTACATAGATATGACTTTGCATTCCGCCCAGATTGGTACATGTGGAGGTGCTTCGAGCCTTTCGGTTGCTTCTACATCGGCCCTCCATGGTCTGGCGACAACCGACCGGTGTCCACATTCCCAGCCAGACCGGACAGCATCAACCCCCGTTACTTGTTCCACACTCGGGACAATGGCGTGCAGTCTCACGAGCTCAAGATCGACAAGCATGAGACGATACTGAACGCTCCCATACGAAGGGACCAGAACTTCTACTTCATTATTCACGGATTCCTGGATAACGGCGATAAGTCATGGGTCCTGGTAGTTAATTCATAGATCCGCGACTGGACACTTGTTTCACGCAATGCTTTGGGAAATGTTTAAATTTAGATCCGAGGATTTTCTATTTTAAATTATTCTACTTCAAATTATTCCACCACAAAATAATTTTATTTCAAATTATTCCACCTCAAAGTAATTTTGTTTCAAATTATTTCACTTCAAAATAATTTTATTTCAAATTATTCCATCACAAAATAATTTTATTTCAAATTATTCCACCTCAAAATAATTTTATTTCAAATTATTCCACCTCAAAATTATTTTATTTCAAATTATTCCACCTCAAAATTATTTCATTTCAAATTATTCCACTTCAAATTATTCTACCTACTTCAAATTACCGCACTTCAGAATATCGTACTTAAAATTATTGAACTTGCAGTTATTCTACTTCGAATAATTTTTTCATACACCACTTTTTCAATTGTGATGAAAAGTGTCCAGTATGTGTGTCCATTCAGGCTCCATTCGAATTCAGTATTTTTCTACAGAGGACGATGAAGGAGCTTCACTTGAGAGAGGATTGCAACGTGATGATCGTGAACTGGATCGGCGGAGCAGGTCCTCCCTACACACAGGCTGTTGCCAACACCAGGATAGTTGGTGCAATGACAGCGCGATTAGCGTCTCAACTGGTTCAGATTGGGGGAGTGGACCCTGCAAGGATGCACTGCATTGGGCACAGTCTTGGTGCACATACCTGCGGATACGTTGGATACAGCATGAAGCACGATTATGACATTGTTCTCGGTAGAATCACTGGTGAGTCGACAATCAACAATCTCGTACAACTAATTTAATTTCTAATAATTAACATTAAAACCACCGAGCTCGGAAATCAACAAACGTGTATTGCTTTATGACGATGAAAATACCTGTGCTTATTTGGGCCTGCCATTTTTATTCTAATGTTCCCTTGAAATAAGGAAATTCAGTCATATCGTATAAAGAGTCCTTTATAATGTCTGCATCTTTGGAAGTAAAAATAATTTTAATGCTAATTGCGATCATCAGTATTTAAGTGTAGTGTATGTATGGACCAGTTGTGCACCGTATTTTGAAACACCGTGTACCAGAGCGACAGCTCGTTAAATTCAAGACTAAATCCGATGAACCTTGAAGCCGGCAGCCGCGGCCGAATAAAAGTAGTCCCGCGAGCAGCCAGAATCGGCCGGAAACGTACGAAGATAGCCGATCGAATCAGAAAAGATCAGGGGAACAGTTGAGGCAGGAGAACCAACGCCGAAAAACGGCGGCCACCATTTCGCTCGACGTCGTTTAAGACGGTGTCCTCCTCGACGACTGTCGAAAAGGCATTCTGAAAATCCGTGCAACACTGAGAAACAAAAATAATTAACGCTTCTCAATTTGCCGTAAACAGATCCATTAAGTCAAACCAGAATCTCTAGAAGACATGCTAAAATCTAAGAAACAACCTACAAATGCAAATTTATATAAATAATGTCTTAATCAACAAAAACAGTAATTAAGTAGAAGCCTAACAACGTTTTTGCGCCGCTTAGAAATATTAAATTCAAGCGAAAAATGACAAATTTATGTTTTACTGGAGTTTGATGGAGCAGTGGCTGCCGAAGGGCAAAGGCCTGAACGATGAGAACCTTTTCCCATTTCTGATCAATCCCCATCGATGCTCCCGGGCCAATCCGATTGGCCGAGTCGGTGTTACGTAAGCTATCGATCCCATCGGGAATTACCAGGACACCAGGAGGCCGCGAAAGCTAGTCTCTGGAGCGAGTGTAACGGAAAAATGAGGATGGGTGAGATCAGGATGATTAGAGACCTCCTATGGACTTGCCTGGTGTCGGCTCGTCGGCTGCCGTCGCATCGGGTCGCGTCCCGTCGCGCAGAATGGTCGATTCCTGGCTGCTGGGTTGGACATTTATCGACAGAGGAGAAAAGGAGCCCTCCGACGACACCCTTAAACCCGCCCGAAGACAAGATCCAGTAAACAACTGGAATAAGCGAACACGAAGCACCAAGAAGTGGCAACAGGGCCCATGGCGGCGCCATAATAGGTCCTAAGGGGATAACGATCTGCCCTAGCCTTCTAGCTACCCTGATCAACGGAGACACCAGCCAACCCGAAATGCGTCTCATTCATCATTAACTCCAAGTCTCATCGATGCTGACATTTTTCTGATACACTATAGTCACTTAATCTTCAAAGCTTTCGTCATTTAGACTTGCGACAGAATTTCCATGTAGAAATAAATGTTTTAGGAAATATAAAAGACTGATATATTAGGTTGTTCGGAGAAATCGTTTCAAATCTTTCATACGAATTCGGTGAAACGAACTCTATGAAACGTGAAACGTAAAAGATTTCAGACGAACTTTTCGACAACCAAATATCTTCGAACACAATCAAATATGTATACCTGCTGCGAGACAGGATTGGGCAAAATTTGAATAGGAAAGCGGATGAAAGATAAAGACTTGACGAATAAAATTTTATTCGACGTTGTCGAGTAAATATTAAAAGAATAAAACTTTATCTAGATAAAAATGTAGCCGAATACGATTTGATTCGAACAAGAATTCATTCGAATTAGTATTTGATTCGAATAAGAAATTTCACACTACTTACTGGCTCAAACTGTTGTTTGACATTATTTCGAACCTATCTCATTGTTCTGCGGGGGTGAATTAATCCGATGTAGCAGCTCCTTTGCCAGATAGCGTTGCGTCTCTAAAGGTGTGCTCGATGGTCTCAATGACTTCAATTCCAAGACAAAATACTGCAACTCTCCTATAACACGGCACTTTGGGAATATGGTTTCGGTATAACACTGTATGAAAATTGCGACAGTCCTTTTACAGCACGGTATTCATATAACACGACTCATGAGACACATACGAAACACAAGTGTGACCATGCAACCCTCTCGCGGTGTACCTCGTTTAAATTGCTGTCACTCTGCGAGAAAAAATCGTAGCGACTTAATTCATTACTCAAATTAAAGGGGAAAGTTCGAGCTTTATGACGTTATTAACGGCATGTTCTAAAAAAATTTTTTAAGTCCATAGAGAGCGGTAAACTTTGCATTTTTCAGAATTAGGAAACTACAGTCATAGGGATGCATGATATTAAAATTTAAAATATGGAATCGTAAAGTAGAGATTTCAAGCTTTAATTTAAAAAAAAAATCACAATTTTACGATTGCTCTTAACGGAGTTACAGCTGTTAGAATATTGAAAAATCTCCGGCCAAAAATTTTGCTGTTAAGTGTACATGACAGAGCCCTCGAAGAACATGGTTTCGATGTAACAGGGAAGGCGTTCCCTTAATTTACTTTCATTTCACACAAAAGTCTCCACACTTCAACAACTCCATACCACTAATACACATATCATATGTTCCACTATTAAAAACAATCTCGACCGGCACCATTGACAATCATAATTTACGCACAGACATTTCGCAATTATATCTCACATCGTAGATCTGTCCGTTCAACAAAGCTTGCACTGGCGTGATATTTAAATAATATAGACGTCGATACACTGACACGGTAAAATGCTAGGCTCTTGCTTCTAATGTTCAAAAAAGTTCTTAGCAAATACAAGGAACGTACTCTTCGCTGGCTCCAGGGTAAATGCGAAGAAGTCAATCACGGTCCTTAGGGACCTCTCACCAAAAGGCATCGCCATCCCCACTCCGCGGTCAGATTCTTCAGAAACAAAGTCCCAATTCTTTAGCCAGGCGGCGTCGGGTCGCTTGCCTTTTTCAAATGTATACATTGTCTCGATAAACCGCCTGAGACGCTCGATAGCCGTGAAACCCAATCTGGCCTCGGACCGTCGTCTGTCGCCAGGTCTGCTTATTGATGGTCTCGGTCATTCAATCTTCGGGCCACATGCAATTCAAGACCCTTTGAAGCGAACCCTCGGATCAACCTAATATTTTTAGGCGCAATAAAATATTAAGCTTAATGGAGATGGTATAAACATTGATATTTCTTGTACAGTTTTAGACTAAATCGAGCAGTATAATAACTGGTACATGCTTTTGAACTCCTGTTTTATTATTTAATACAATTTATATACAGGGTGTTCCACAATTATTTTAACAGCCGAAAATGAGGGGTAGGTGAGGTTATTTCAGCTACCCCTCATTTTCGGTTGTTAAAATAATTGTGGAACACCCTGTATTATAATAGTTTCATTTAAATTGGATCGTTCATCAGAGAGTTAATTCAGTATAGATATATTGGGATATTTGTACCATTTTTATTTTGCATTAATTTCATATCAAATTTAAACCTTCAACATTCTGAAAACATTCTTTTTCCATAGAGACCTAAACGAGAAATGCAAGAAAAAGTTGATCTATACATGAATTTCAATTGAAAATTCATGGGTGAACGAAAAATTATGCAATAAATTTATAAATTATTATAAATTATAAAAATTGCGACCCTTATCCTAGCATCGGAGTTATGAATATAAATATTAATATCCTGGAGAATTAAGAGGAATTGGATGGAAAAACTGTTTCAACACGGTTGCAACACAATGTTAATAAAAATTATGCAACACGAACATTCGACCGAATAAGTATACCGCGTAGGATCAGCGAAGCCAAACCCGGCCGGTTATGCGATACGCGATCGCGGTGCGATTAAGTGGGCTAGCGTTCCATTATTTCCTGATGCACCAGGAAAAGACTCCGTCGAACCAATTCCCGCAGGGAAAACGTGAAAAACCCCTGTCACCTGTGCGGTAACGAACGCTTTCCTCCAAAGCCTTTTAATTTATCATCTCGACAGACCGAAAAATCGCTTCCGCTTTTGCGCAATGTGGATGTAAACCTCGAGCACGTTGGCCAGGGACATGCGGTAATTGTTACGTGACGATTGTGCGATACGAGTAACTCGATCAAGAGGATCGGGATTCAACGACTGGTTTCGAAGAGCAACGAACATCCGGGGCACCGCAACTATTCCTCTCCGCATTGCTCGCAATTGTAATTCCTCAAGGTGCACGGAGAGGGTCTGAGTAGACCCAGGCAATGAGTAGAATTGTGGATACAGAAACTGATCGTTCGAAGAAGTGAACAAATCACGATTATTCCCCTCTCTTTGTTCTTCACGATTGGACATTCATTTATTCAAGCTTACAGAGACATTGTACGGGTCCAAGTTGACCCAGTCATCGAAGATCAAACAAAAAGCAAAATTGTAAAATTATGCATTGGTAGAATTACAAGCAAAGTAGTAGAATTGAAAAGTAGGACAAGTGTGTCAATTACTGTGCCACCCCCAGGTTACTGTAATCCTTACAATAATTTTACTTAATATTTAGAAACAAAATTACTAAATTACAGATATTGAATTTTTTCAATAAAATTTGATCTGTAATTTTCATAGCGGAAGCAAAACTTGCCTAAATAAACTTTTCATGTTTTTAAGGGCACAGTGATTCGTTCAAAAAGCAGTTTCATCCATTTTGTTAAATATTTCGTGCTTCGTATATTTTAATGACGAAAAGATTCGTACTTATATTGAAGACATCAAAAAACATATGATTGAAATGTTTCAAGAAGTGCGATATAGATAAAAATACTATTTAATTTGTCGAAAACATCGGATGTCACTTTAATAAGCACAGTAATTGACAAAATTACCCTAGCAAATGTCGATAATTGATCCGGGGTTAAGTACAAATGTTGCACACCAAGTTCTCCGCAATTATTGTTTTTTCTGAAGACCTAGCATCGGTCCAAGTTGACCCAACCTTCGCGGAGCAACCGGCGAGTAAAATAGTAGAACCGTCAGCTAATATTTTGACGAATTAGAGGGCGACGAACGAAATCGTTGCAGCAATAGGTTCAACGACGCGGCTCACGTCTCCGTTTCTTTTTCCTGTGTAAAGGCCTCGATCCGGCGGAGCCGCATTTCAGCAACACGTCGACTATGGTGCGGCTCGACCCAACGGACGCCACATTCGTCACGGCCATCCATACCGATTGCAGTCCGTTTATCAGCGGCGGCCTCGGGATCACCCAACCCGTCGCGCATATCGATTTCTATCCGAACGGCGGCCGCAATCAGCCAGGCTGCAACGCGGGTGTTCTCAATTCCATCACCTTGGAACGTGGGAGCTTCTTTCGTGGTGAGCCATCCTCTAATTCTCTGTTAATCCAATGAAACCAGGGAAAACACCGGTATTGTAGCAGTAATTTTTGGTCGTACCTTCGCAACCCTTGTACAGACTGTCCTACAATTACGTTAACACTCGGAACGGGGTGATTCCCGAGGTCATTTGAAGTAACTTTTTCCTGAGCGAAAATGCAATCCGCGACTTCGTTTACGAGTTATTAACGAAAAACACTGACCAATGAGAGGCGAGCTCAGATGCCTAGCCAACGAGCGGTCGAAGCTCAGTTCCGCTGATTGGCTCGCCCGCCTAGCGCTAGGCGGGCTCGCTTCCCATTCACCAGCGTTATTCGTTAATTACTCGTAAACAAAGCCATGGATTGAATTATCGCTAAGGAAAAAGTTACTTCAAATGACCCCAGGAATCACCCTTTCTCAGGTGTTAACATAATTATGGGATACCCTGCAGAAACTGAAATCCAGGAATACTGGTATATTTATCCATATTTACCGGTCATTTTTCCAGTACTTAGATTTCATTATACATACATTTCATTTAATTAATTTTCAAGATTCTTTTAAGCAGAAGTCAATAACATTATTTTTTATTGTTACTATAATTTATTTATTTCGGTATTATTTTAAAAGCATTGATACAATAATTATGTTAAAGGTATTGATACAATAAGTTCTCCCTAATTATTCTTCAGCTTGTAAACAAAAATGGGCAACTTGGCAAGAGAAGATACGATTATTCGAGCCTTGCACCTCGTTTTCATAATTATTGATGATCGACAACTATAAAAAAATAAACCTCGAGACTCAAATAATCGTACCTCTTCTTCCCGAATTATCCATTTTTGTTTACAAGCTGAAGAAAAGTTAGGAAGAATTTACTATATTTCGGTATTATAACGATTATGGCATAGCTTTGCTGGAATAATACCGGCATAAAATCCCCGAATTAAAATGCCAATCTCGTGACATCCTAGACACCGTTCACGCTTCCGTGTCCCCCTTTCAGGAATAAAGAGATTCCTAGGCTGCAACCACATCCGCAGCTACGAGTACTTCATAGAAAGCATCAACACAGCTTGTCCATTCCTGGCAGTCCCTTGCTCCTCCTGGGAGAGGTTCCAGGAAGGTGGCTGCTTCGATTGCGTCAACCAATACTGTCCCAGGTTCGGATTGGACGCTGAACCAGGAAACTATCACGCCGCCGTTTACCTGATGACGGGGAGAGACAAGCCGTTTTGCAGTTAGTATCAGGTGCACACTATCTTCTCCGCAAATTGAATATTCCTTAACAGTGGTTACCATTGTTCTCCGACGTTTTGCACCGTTATGGTGAGACGAGACGTTCATCAATATTGCTGCCTTATCGAGAAGATAGTGGATCAATCATCGCAGTAGCTGACTCAGCGGTGGCTTTCATTTATCCTGATTGCTCGCAAAGTGTTCAGGAAAGACTACAGTAGTTTCTCTCAAATTGTCCCTCGGCTTGTAAACAAAAATGGACAGTTTGGGAATAGGAGATGCGACTACTCGAGCCATGTATAGTAATGTTTCCCTAACTGACGCTCAGATTGTGCATAAAACTGGACAATTTGGGAAGAGGAGATACGATTATTCGAGCTTTGCGGTTTGTTTTTGTAGTTACGAATTATCAACAACTATAAAAACGAACCGCAAGACTCGAATAATCTCCCAAATTGTCCATCTTTGTGTACAATCTGTGCGTCAATTAGGAAGACATTACTGTAGCTTGTTTTATCGTTAGCAACAATCACATCTCCTCTTCTCAAATTGTCCATTTCTGTTAACAATCTAAGGGACAATTTGAAATAATTTACTATGTCTCCAATCGCTTCCTTGAGCCCTTAAAAAAGATCCTGGACGAGTAGAATCTTCGTTCCATACTCTCCGGATCTGTTCCGGTTACTGTTTTTGACAATCAGGATAAACGAAGCAGCCCAGGTCGGTTGACGTTTGTCACGAAATTTAACAATTATTCCAATGATCGTAGAGGGCCATTACAAGGTCACCATCAACATCTCCAACACGCTCGAGAGCATGGACCACGGTGGAGAGGTCGGCACGTTCGTGATCCGGGTCTTCGGCGAAAACGGGAACACGGAGAAGATGCAGCTGAGTCCCTACTCGAAGTATTACGAGCCGGGCACCACTCACACGGTGGTGCTAGCAGGCGATGTGGTCGGCAAGCCGGAATCGGTCGAGATAACCTGGAAGTATCAGACCTCCGTGTTCAATCCGCTCACGTGGCGGCTTCTGCACACCCCGCGCGTCTACATCGACTCGTTGGCAGTCGATAGTTTGGAGTCCTCTCACAGGTACGCGACCTAACGGAAATCATTCTCGCCTAAACGGAAGTCCGAGGACTAATGTTAAATACGTTGACGGCACTTGCGATGGAGCACGCGACCTGCCAGAGTCTGCCAAAGATAGATCAGATCATTCGATAAGCAGTTACTTCTTACTTGGTTTATTTTCGACTACAAACATTTTTTTCGTTCTTTTACTTTGCTTATTCTCGAATAAAAAAAATCTTTGCATACTTTTATTTTGTTTAGAATCGAATAGAAATATTTTTGTATTCTTTCATTTTGTTTAGTCTTGAGCGAACAAACATTTTTTATTTTCTTATTCTGCTTACTTTTTAGTAAAACGTTAATGTATTATTTTATCGTGTTTATTTTTTAAGAACAAAATTTCGTATTCCTTTATCTTATTTACTTCAGAATATAGAGATTTAATTTATGTCATTCTATAAATACAAAGTTAATCATTCTATTCGCCTAAACGGAAGTTCGAGGACTATGGTAAATACGTTGATGGCACTTGTGATGGAGCACACGGTCCGCCAGAGTCTGCGGCATACGTAGCTGGTAATTTAATCGTACGTGTGCGGGTTTTCGATGACGAAGTCGAATTCCGAGATGCGATTCCGTCTTAGTGGAGTTTCGAGCTTAACGTCTCGATTTGTTCTAGTATCACGGTGTGTCCCGGCGTCAACAATACTCTGATGGCGAACGAGCCGAGGATCTTAACGATGGAGCACTGCCGCGACGATGACACCAACGTCTTGGTCTCGGAAACTGTGCAGCTAGGCTCGGACTGCAAGAATTCCATCAGCAGTTGCGCCAAGTAGAACGCTGCGTTGGACACTGCTCCGTGTAACTAACGAACGAATGAATTTGTTTTTGATAAGGTGTGCGAGGCTACAAGAGACGCCACTTTACGACAATGCTGCGAACCATTTGCGGAATAAACAAAAGAGACAGTCAACGAAATAATTTCACGACTGAAAGCAACGAGAACCAAACTAAGTTTGTACACTATAGCTTGTAAGTTATACGATTATTATAGTTAACAATTATTAATGTGGACTTTGTGCATTTACGACAGAAATGAATAGGCGAAATTCGGAACAACGAAAACATTTAAACTATTTAAAGATACTATTGCATTTTACGTTCAAGTCATCAAGATTGTTAAACAAACAATTTCTATTTTGCATAAGGATTTACAGTTTAACAATTATAGTTTGAGAGGCACTCCCCCCCCCCCCCCCCCC